GTGTCTGAAAGATAAGGGGGTCAGGATGCTCAACTAAATATTGCATGTATGGGCTAAGATATGGAATTGCCAGTGGGGATAAGAAGATGAGACAATGTCGACATTTCTGACACGACCTAATCCCTTTACTCATTTACTGTCAGGAAGGAAAAAAGAATTACTTCGTTAAAATTTTCATGAGTTCAAAGAATGGAATTCTAATAAAGTTAGATAAGAACCGATCTAAGAGCATCTAGCCCCGTAGACGTGATGATCAAGCACTGATCAGGTGACACCTCTTTTTCAAATCAAGGACACCACTTATTATCTGATGATTCTTGCTAACCCAACCAATCTCTTCTCTTCACGCCATACGGCGTCATTTAGAGCCAGAAATACTAGATAAATTGCATCTAGCACACACTAGTGACGCCAGTAGAGAGCGTATTTTGGTTCCACAAATCACCACAACTGACAGTTTGGGCAGCCCAAATTAGACGATTTCGCGGTCACTTTGAATGCTCAGCCTTACAAAATCATTTCTAGGAGTGGGCAAAGGCGCTGAGTGGCACATTCACCTTGACTCTACCTGCATCAGCTTGTTCATTTCTAAGAGAGAGGCCCATTCGGATCCACCTTTCCGTGCAAGACACTAAATTGACAGATTCCCTGCGCTCTCGCACTGCATAAATATGCTGGAAGGGTCAGTTAAGGCCCCACTTTTTGTTGCTAATTTTTAGCCAAAGTAGGCGGAGGACAGGTGAGGTGGGAACCTATGCCGATGTGCTAAAGATGCTTTTTGCTTGACCAACCTTCTTATCACTGCTTTTTAAGGAGCATGCATGACGATGTCCTTAATTTCAGGTGGAACTCCTCTGAGGCACAATGTATTTTTTTAACAAGAAATGCCAAGGGTGCGTTTAATTTCCTAATGCCTTTACGTTATAATGCAGAAGTCGTTTTTCCTTTTCGTTGTATAGTGTGAAATGACATCTAAATCAGATAACCTTTATGTTGCTCATTCAGTCATTAATCATGTCGTGTTGTCGAAGGCAAGGAAGAGAGAAGAGGACATCGTAATACAGTCCGTCCTCAGTACTGGTGTCTGTCACCTTGGTAACATCTGTCTTGCAAAGCAGTCGACACTTTTACTCCTAGAACAGACTTTTTTGCTGAATTTTATGGTTTAATGGTGAGATAAGGTCTCTTATCTCGACAATGATCAAGGACCAAAAACATGGCTGCCTGAATATTTCGAGCGCCTGTATTTAAGTAACCTCTACTACCCAGACTCATACCATACTTATGTATACGATACTCAAATTATGATCAAAATTTACTCCGCTTTTAAACAACTTTTATCCTCCGATGGAAATTGGCAACTTAAACAAGTAACCCCTGTAAAATTGACGAATTCCTATCCAAAACCTCTGCATTTTGAGAATCTTAAGTTTACCGATATTATTGCAACGCCGGATTGTGTAGAAAAGTCATTTTAGATTAACGTATTGACTGCTTAGAGGAAAACAAAAAGGCAATTTTCCCTTTATTGCATTGATTTTTGAATCTGACTAAGTTGTTTGTGAATTATTGGGGTTTAAGCATGACAAATGTTTACCTTCCCGTCCACTATATAATGCCGTATTTATAGCGGTCGTAAAATATGGATCAACATTCACAATTTGTATTTCAAACTAGTTGGTTTTGGCAGCCATTTTTGTCGCCTTACCTGCGATTGGTCCATCTTTTCGACATTGTTTGCAGGGCAGTTTGCATTTGATCCGCCTGAAGTGATGAGGTGTTAATTTAACCGCGGGTGATATTTTTGGTTACTAGTAAGTTTGTGGTAGTATTTCTGGCCTTTTTAAGTGAAAATTTTAACCCTACATTTGCGTCTTTTTTGCATAAAAAAGATAAGTTGTCAATTTTTCTGAAAAGACAAATAATTTACCAAGACATTTATAGAATGATAGAGTGAATATATTTTGTTTATAATGCCGAATGTGAACTCGGGCTAGATGCCATCCGATTCTTTTGCCTCAAACTGCGCATCTCTCTGCTCCTTCATGGTATGCGATCACACCGCCAACTTTCCTCTCCTGTGACTAACTAAGTAAGGACAAAATAAATTACTTCAACTCCTTTCATACTCTATAATAAGGTTTTTTAATGGCGTCTGAGAGTGGGATCGACTAACTGGGTAGTTTGAAGCCCGATGTCAGCAAAGTACTTATCTGCGATGGCCCATTTTCTCCCTTTACCAATTTGCGCGCAGCCCTTACAGTAGGTGAATATCTGCTAATTGCAACCGTGTGGTTCATAAAAGACAGACCGGATCTTTTCACTGCCCGAACTGGTCACCACACCCGCATTAACTCAACGTTTGAGTTAGCCTTGTGTACCTCTGGACAGATAGTAGGTCGACCTACCCACCTTTTCAATAGGTACGTATCGTGGAGCGAAAGAACTTGTCTCATTTCTTTTTAAATTGAAGGCACTGGCATTCACCTCTCTAGGTGCCAGAAAGACCTTATTTTGTGCGACAAAGTGTTTTGCGAACATATTTTTTTTATAACTAAAGTCGAACACGAAAGAGATTGAGATTTAGGTAAGTGCGTTTGTAAGGGTCTTGGCCGGCTTTTCTTCCAGTCCAGCCACCGAAGCAGTCATGACTAGAGAGGCTCAAATTTTTTAAATGATTGGGGCTAAACAGAAAATACGTTATGCATAGTGCCTACATATTGTAGAGTTGCGTGGATTTAATCATACTTGGACAGTCATTAAGCAGCCTACCAACGGAGGCGCGTTAACACCACTGGGCAAATTCCTGATTTGTGGTAAGGATTGAGGGGGCTCCAATCATTGAGAATATTATCCACCAGTAAACACATAGGCAAATCATTACCCAAGGAAAAGACAAACAGGTATATTTAGCTTCTTCTTAGCAAGTGAAATACTATTGGACAACTAATTAACTTGAGTAAATGCTTATACCCTCCCCTTCTTCCTTCTCTTCTGCTGCCCTTTCCTCCCTCTTCTTCACCTGCATCTACCAAACCTTAGAAACACTGCAGGCAATTACAACTCTCTCATTCGTGCTGACAAGTTGTCTTATTTGACAATATCTACTCTGTGATACTTTCATTTAATTAACCAAAAAATGAGACTTTTATTATCTGATATTGAAGGCTCAATGTCACAACTGTCTGATCATTTAGGAGGCATTTTCATAAGGTATACAAATTTTTAGCATATAAACAGCCTCGTTAATGATATACGAAAGGAGTAGTGATAATGGTAGCTGGTAGACGAAGCAGCTGAAAGGTGTTTCTTCACTTGAGGTTAATCCTCTGTCTGCATGAAAAACTGACAATGGCTCAACGCAACTTTAGCAGAGAATTAGCATAACTTTACATAGTTCTCAATTAAATCTTTGCTCCTCTTCAAAGGAGTCCTCGTAATTTGCTATGACTTAGCCTTCGTCTATTCGTTTCCCACCTCTACAGTCGTTCTTCTAGGATTCAGCTTTCAGAAATGCGTTTTTTCTTCCTTAAATCTTGAATGTGTTATCTGAGAAATTAGAAATGCTCTTTACTTGGTTGGGCCGTCTAAACACCTAAATTTCCCAGTGGAGTCATCCCTGGCGACAGCCTAGGGCGCAGTGACAGCTGGGAAATGTTTATTACTTGATCAAAGTTAGATGGACAGAGCACAAATGAGGTCACACCATCAATGTGTTAGCCTGACCGCAAAAGCTAATTACCTGCACCATTGTAAAGAATTGGCCATCTTTTAAGTGCAAAGTCGGAAAGAGGAGGAGCAGGAACTTTCCAAATTTGACCAAGCCGATGATGATCGTATTTTGATGGCGTCTTCTAGTTTTAAATTTATTTGCCCCATCTGAAATTGATTCTTTAGAGATAGGTAACATAGGTTTGGGTATTTCCTTTGTATGTCATTACAGAGGAGAGATCTAATTTGTTGGTGATAGAAGCCGAATTCTGTCAGTTAATGTAACCAAATGTGATGCAACTTGCAAAGTAACTTAAAAACGGTTGACATCGATTTGATGCATTTCGAATGACAAAACTTAAAGGCATTGAAGCATAGATGTCATTGTTGGATATCTTTGTGGATTCCGTTTGATTAGGGGCAACTTTGAGAGCGTGTTAAGTGTTTGTACTTCTAAAGTGAAGGGCTGGGAGATAAGTAGTATTGGGTTGAGTTAGCAAAGCTGAAAGGACCATAAACTTTGAACTACAGATTACTTTGTTCCCATCGGTATCCAACACACCCCACTCATTCACTCGTTGAAGGATTTTTCCTGTATTTCGGCATCCTGATTTTGGGACAATTTACTCCAAACTTCTCCTGTGGCATCAAGCTGTTTCAGAACTTTGTTACCAGTTCTGGGTACTTCTTCTTGACAAATGATGCCCTCTTTGCCACTTTTTCGCCTTATTCTACGTTTTTTTTGTCAAAAGCAGATAAAGAGTACACGTCACATATTTGTGTCAATGGGTAGGGAAAGTGAAAAAATAGCATAATCAATGTGATTGGCTCGTTAGTTGTGGAAGACTAAAGGAAGGGAAATCATTAGATTTGTAGGTTATTTAGAAGAATCTTGCTATTAAGTAGGTTAATTTAATACCCCGTTTGAACCCCTTCCCAAAGGATAAGCTTTCCTATCATGCAGTTTTTTCCAACTCAGTCGGCCGATCTAAAGGATCCATTTTAACGTCTTCTTCCCTTATTTCTTGTGGTTGCGTCTGCACTCAGTTGGACGCTTGCGGATGAGACCCAAACGCTTCCCTTAACAGTTAGTTGTTTTCCTAACTAACTCATAGACCACCCTTCGAGGTAGAGGTCGATACAGAGGACTCAACCTGCAAAATGACAAAGCCCACTCAGGAGGTGTTTGAGTTATGCTGTCGCTTTTCTACGACGTCAAACACTGTCATTCTTAGTGGAACCCTACTTACTTAGCTTTCACGAGTCAGTCCGCTCAACTAATCCTCACAGAAAAGCCCTAAAAGCCTAATCCCACCCACCTTTAGTCAATAAAGTGGGGTGCTCTGCAACACTTACTGAGAAGAGAGGAAATTCTACCTTAGCCGGTTAACTCCATCTGTGAGTGATTCATCATCAAGTACTAAGTAGTTCTGAACGGTATACTGAGCTAGCACATATATTACCCTCTCCAAAGGCTACAAAATGGGGTCTGTTTATTTCCATTTCCTGCCATCGTTAATTCACGGATGCAAAACAAGGAGAAATACCTATGAAGGGCACAAACGGGTGGCCTACTGGTGCCCTGATGTGTGTTGATCTGTTTCGTAGAATTCTAATAAAGACCTCTATAAACTCCAAATATGGCGTTTTAGAAGACTCTGTAGGCACCTCCTTCACAAGCACTACCAGTTGGATCTCTGTTTAAGCCCCACTTGATCAGACAGTATCAGGCAGGCAATACCCCAAAGTCTATATTTAACTAAGACCTTAAAACACACAACGATGCTTGGCGATGTGGTTCAGCATCCATCCGGTAGTCGTGTACGTCCACACTGACGAATTTACAGCTACAGACACTTGTTTTGAAGCCTTTACCTCCTGACTGCACAGTTTCTGGATCTCGAAAGTATCCAATTTGAGAGGGATCATTACGGCATTTTCGTGGCATTCGTTATCCCAAATCAACTTTATTGCAGCCAAGTAAGCGAAATCCATGGGCATGAAATAAAAAGCTATATTTTTGTCTTCTTGACTCCACCAAAGGCGGTCCTGCTTGGAACTTTCACCTTATTTCTGACCATTCTAGAAGGCCTCAGACCTTGCGTTCTTAACAGCTGCATCTGATTGGTCAGTTCACTGAAGTTTAAGCTGCTGTTATGACTTGGCTCGAGTACCTCGTCTGGCACCCGCAAATACACGCAGAGCCTGCTTCGATACCTTTCTACGAATGAAAGGTAGACGGACCCCTTTGCTTTCTCTCTGAGCAAATACGTTTGGGGATCGCATTGGCTCTGCATTAGTGAGCACATTTACTTTAGAGAAAAAGAGCGAGTGCGAGAGAGGAAGATAGAACAATGCACACCTTCTGTGCAATTGATGCATAGGTGAATTGTTCCAAAATGCGAAACTTTCAAACCAATTAAAAGAAAATTTTGCCATGTTATTGGTAAGATTTGTGCTGTTTTAGGTGAATAATTCATCAAAAAAATTTGCTCTACTTCAAAGACATTTCATGCCGTATTACGTAGGTAGTCTCACACAACGGGATGCACATCCACAGATTGTGGCTGCCTTCAAGCCACACGCATTGGATGTGGCGATTGGAGAGCAAGCCGCCATCTTGTGATGCTTTACCTTGAAATAGGACCATTTTAACAGAAAATATATTGCGCTATTCCACAGATG